TTTAAACCTACTTGTCGGGAAGCAAGCATTATAGATTTTTTTTACATATTTGCAATAATAATTGATAATTATTTTAATTAGCTTAACAGTAATTAATCTAAGCTCAGATCTATTTAGACTTTGAAATTTGTTAGCATATTTGATTTGAATGAGCTGTTAAATTGCCTTCAACTTTTAACATCAGCCCATGACTTAGCAAATAGTTTATATTTAATCATTTTAACAACTGATTTTAACTGATGGTACTAATAGGACCTATAAAGTAAGTTTCGGTAACATTTTTTTGCAAATATTTCAGCTGTTCGTTATTATTAGATTAAACGTGGTTATAAAAGCAGTTTTGACATCGTCCTTCGCAAGCTAGGAATTACCTTCGAATTATTGGCAGCTAGAAATTCAGGTCAGTTTTACATGTTTTACTCCAATATGGTTTTTTTTCAGCTTCAGAATAATTTAAATAAAATGTTTTGAGATTAGAGATTCTTTATAGCTATCTGACAGCAGCATATATTATGTTGCTAAGAGTAAATAAAAATTAGTTCCAGCATTTAATGTCAGTTTTTTTTTTGTGTAATCAACAATTTAAATTATTTATGTCAATTATATATTGTATAAATTGCTTAGGATGTAATTCATTTAAATTAATATATACCATATTTCAATTGGTTTAAATTTTTTTTAGTTTTTTAATTGAAAAAAGTTATGTATTTGCTATATTTTCGTTGAATAAAAAACAGATAAATGATTTATTTATTATTGTAGTGATTAATTTGGCTTCACATAAAAATAATATTTAAAAAAAAACAATTTTTCAAAAAAAATTTTTTTTAAATTAAATATTAAATTTTATGGAATCTTTATTTTTATTATTAATTTTATTTTATTAATTTTTTTTAGCAATTAATTATATCATATGATGATTTTAGTAGCAGCATTACTAGCTACACAATTATAGTATTATTATTCTAGTATTATTGCTAGTAGCATTTTATTGAATTTTTTATATGTTTATTGAATTATATATTTTAAGTGCTAAGATTTATTTGTATTTTTATAAATGCAAATTATTAAATATATAATTTTGATTATTAAATCTAGGGGGTTTTTATGGTTGACTGATACCATACGAGTTTTTCTGCACTGAACAATATGCCTTCAATGTGCTTGCTTTTGAACTTTTAGGATATTAGATATATTAGATATTTTAGAATATTTCAACTGACAGTTTGGTGCAAATATTATAGCAAATTATAATTAAAAAGTTTTCGAAATTGAACAGCTGATTAGCCACTGCGCATAGGAGAAGGTAAAGCAGTATGTGAATGAATAATAGTGCTGGAAGAAAGCACTAAAGTCTAGTTAGTGTAGCACAGTTTTTTTCTACTTGAGGCGTACGTACCATACAGTTGATTTAGACTATTTGAAAGAAACAATTTGAAATTACACTTAAATTGATATTGTTAAATTTGAAACAAATGTAATCAACAAGTATCCTTATGAACTTAACGAATTAATATTCTTCTTAATTCCTTTAACTCCTTGTGGAGCATAGGGTCTTGAGTTAATATAGTAGTACACAAGAAAAATAATAAGTATTAAAAGGGTCATTAATATAGTTTATCTTTTGTTATTCGAAAAGAGACACATTTTCGACCTACGATCTACAGACCTTTCCGAACGTTATTTGAATATTACATGTTTAAGTTAATAAATTCTTAAGTAGGGCATATTACAAGAAAGTGAGAAGTGCTAATATAGCAAAAGAATTTGCATATTTATGCTATAGGTTTTTAGTGTTGCAAAAGTATGGCATTTTGACATACAAATCTGTATATTTTATTTTTGTTAAGCATAAAATTGCAATAATTATTTGCAAATCCAATAATGAAATAGTATGTTATTACTAGTAGTATATACGTGTATGTAGTATATATCATAGTATTACCATTTACGAATACGGGAATTTAATCAAATTGAAATACAAATGTATGTGTTTATAATTTTTTTTATTTATCTATGTATATAAATAATATATTTTAACGAATATTATTTCATACTTCGAATATATCACGAAACCATATTTTACAGTTGATTTTTGGCACGCCTTTAATATCTGTAATGATATGTGCTTATATATCTGTTTCTCAAATATGTTTTTTGTTTCTTCTAAAAAAAAAATAAAAATTATTCAACGTAAATAATTTAATATAAAAAAATTTCGATTTTCTTGCATAATAATATAGTACTTACACATTTATATATTTTTATAGTTTTCAGCAGTAATTCAATCTGAGACACAAAATTCAGTCTTCTGATAAGGCGACAGAAAATCTCTTATCACTGTTTTTATTCACACTGAAACAGACTGAAAACTGAAAGATGGAATTATCAAGTTAAGTATATACAAGAGCAATGAATCTGATATACTTATATGTACTTGTATATACTTGTATGTTGTTATTAATATGAGTACAATTATACTAAGGTTTATCAACTGAACCAGCATTAAAATTATATAAATGGCAATGAACAACAAATGTATTTAACATAAAAGTAAATACAAATGTTTTTGCTAAAAGTACTCGTGAACAGTTTGTTTCAATAAATTTGAAAATAAATGTTTTCATATAAGAAGTAGAATTTTATTTTGATAACTCATTTGCAGATGATCATAGACGGTGCGTATATCTGAAATATTTAAACAATATATAAGCAGGTATTTCAAGGGAAGACTGTATGTTTCTATACGAAATGATTAAGTGTTCAAGAGTCAAGCTACTAGTTCTTGCTTTTAAGTGGAATTCTTAATATGATAATAATTAACAGAATTAATTTGTGATAATGTATTTAAAACTTTACGTCATAAAATGATTATTAAGAAAATTGAGTATGAAAGTTTAAAAGCACAGAGAATAACAACATATAAATTATATGCAAAAATTAATATTTATAAAATGTATATTAAAATTTTTAGAAATAAAAAATTGTGTGAAACAGACTAAAAAATTTTAAGAATTTAAAAATGCAATATTAAAAAATTAATTGACAACATTCTAAACCGAACAGGCAATTAAAGAAGAAGATACATTTCCAAAGAAATAATAAGTTGTCATATATAAAAAATAACTTACGTTAATACTTTTATATAATAAAATATTGAATGTGGTAAAAATATATTTTTATTTTGAATCTATCAATAATTAAACAAGTTTGAGTAATGCTTTCTTTATAATTTTGATGATTATTTTGATTATTTATATTATATATTAATTAATAATATTTGTTTTTATTACTTTTTAATTTTTTACAATTCTGATTAAAATTGTATATTATTTAGAACATATAACAAATTCACAATTTTTAAAAACTTTAAATTTTGATAATAATAGTCGACTCATTTCACACTTTTTTTTGCACAAGGCCAATTCAACTCATAAAATTATACTAAAAGCTGAAATGAGTTTTTTTAATTATTGACGAATACTGGTTTTTGTATTTTTAATCAAGAAGAGATCTCAGTTTTGGAGTTATAGATCCATTTCTACTAAAGCCATTTAAAAATCCTATGCGAAAAAAAAAATAATAATAGCAACTAATATTGCTTCATATCATTCCGAAAAATACATCCGGTATATTCCCAAAAGTACATCCGGTATATATATTTCTAAGCAAATCTTAGCACTACGTCGAACTTTGACAGTCTTTAATTAATTGCTTACACAAAGTATATTAAATTTAACTTCAAGAAAGAAAACTATATTGTTATGTAAGTACTTTAAATCGTATTTGAAGCAAATCCAGTGCAGAATAAAATATATATTGCGGTTTCAATAGAAACCTGCAAGACCTATTTAACTTTGTAAGCACAGTTTAACTTCATCTATTTGAATTAATTTATCATCATATGAAAAAAGTTAAATATTTTAAAATATCACATATACTATCCATTAAATTTATTTATTTATTTAGAGGTCTCCTTGAACTTGTCGATAAAAATTTGTCCATTATCTATTTTATTACAATTTAAGATCACTAATCTACACTTTTTGTATATATAAGCTAAAGAAAAATAACAATATTTGTAGCAGTTTTTTTTAGCAGGTATGTAAGTAGGTATAGCTTGCTGACCGATACCAAATAATATTCATTAAAAGTATAGATAAATGTTAATGATGGTATAGATAATAAGTTGTGTCAGCCTCTCAAAATCGATACGTTCAAAGAATTATAGTCCAGTTTTTGAGAGAACCAGATAAAAACAGAGAAGATTCTGCAATAATTGCTTTAATACAATGAAGCTTGCATATTCATCTCTGGTATTATAAAGCTTTTGGGCGTTGTGCTGTAAAGAGATTTTGAAAGTATGTAATAAGGCCATTCATTTATATTTCACCATATATATATAAATGTTTCTATATATATAGTAGAAAACATTCGATATTAATATTTTTGTAAAATAAGTTTTTTTAAAAGTTAAATATTTTCCAACAACGATAGCTTTAGTAATAAATTATGGCATAATTGTAATTTATTTTAATACACAATTAACAGAAAGTAAAGTATGTTTCTATATATAGCCAAACTTCCATAACTCGAAGTATTATTTTGCAAAGAAAAGGTTTTACTTATGAAGACTTCGAGTTAAAAATTTTTTTATTATTGTATGTAGTTTGCTCTCTAAATTCTGTTACACCCCATTTAGTTGGAATTATAGAAAATTCGAATTATAGATGTTCGGGTTATGGAAGTTTGACTGTATTATCTATTGTCTAATTAACTATTATAAAATAGATATTATTAGATATAATGTAGTGGATGTAATAAAATAGATATAATATATAATTTAGTAATAGATTTATAAATATTAAAATAATGTTACATATTTGTGCATTTAAATTTAATGAAATTAAAATTCATAAAATAGTACACTCAAACTAAATTAAGTAATTAATTTGATTGTATATATAAAAGTTATATAATTCATTATTATTTACTTACAGCATTTCACGAATACAAACCGAAACTATAACAGTGGTTATCATCATCAGCACATTAGTGCAGATTATGAAACTGTAATCAATTTCATAGACTCACCACCAAACTCAGAAGAATCTTGGACAGGTAAGTACTATACGAATGCAACTATTAGCAGACAAATGATGGTTTCTCTGAATAATAGACGATCGTTCCAAAGGCTCACCCGGACCACAAATAATTGACGTTCAAACAATTTATTCCAATAACGGATCACGTAAAAGACGAATGGATTGGGATTCCTTAGATATCGATCAGAGTGGAAACACAGCAACAACAGCTCAAACGGATGAAATACCAAACAAGATAACAAGTCACGATAAAGAAAGACATAAAAGAGAAAAACTTGGTGGTAAGTTAACAAAAACTTTTTTTTTTTAATTTAAAATTCAATAATAAAAATAAATTTAACTACTAAGATATCGTTACTATACAGGGTGTTATAAAAAAATAAGAATTACTGTTTTTTTTTATATTACATACGATCGTCGTATATTAATATTTAATGTTAAAAAAGATCAAGGAATTTATTGAATGGCATACACAAATATGGAATGGTTATAAACAATTAATACTCCTTATAACCCTTACTCTTTATAATCGGTGTACATTTTTACAGATTAAGATATTAAACCTATATAAAACATATTCATTGTTTTAAATAAAAGTGTTCGAATTTGGCATGTTGACTTTGTGCACAGAATTTCTCTGGGTTTTTAATAAGAATTAGTTTTAATTATTTTTAAAAACTTAAATTAAGTATTAAAATATTGATTGCGATTATTAATCAATATTCTGTGATTACAATAAGAGTTTATAAGTTCTACAGACAGTGGCCGTGAAGGGGTTAAAGATAAGGATCGTCCTTAGCACTATAGCTGTTTAATAATATATGTATAACCATGACAAACAACTCAAGGCAAATGATTCTGGATTTATTTAACTAAAATATATTTAAATAAATATTTAAAATAATAAAAATGTGAAAATGTGAATTATAAAGCCCATTGATATAAAACATTTCCGTTACTTTTTTATGAAACAGCATATATGATATTGCCAATGTTATGGTCCTCCTTTTTAAAGATCTGTCTTATCCAGCACCACTTTTTTTTCTTGATTTCTGCTTCGATATGAGAAATATTCGTGAAGTCCAATAGATTATCATTGAAGACTAGTTGCAGCCAAAAAATATGGCTGTTGATTCTAAGCCATTTGTTCAAAAATGTTTACAATTTTTAGCAGATGTTATCTGCTATTTGTGATATTTATTTTATTAAATATAGACAAGTTGAAGAAGTTGTCGTGGCTTTGATTAGAACAGATTAAGTTATTCGTAATGAATAACTGTACGACAAAAATTAAGTGTTTTTTCTTTTTTCTGACAGCTTTAGGTTACTTTGGGTCTTTTATTTATGTCTCTGATAAGTCTGTGTTAAATTTTGAAAATTGAGGTTTTAAGGAGTTATAAAAATTTTTTATTTTAATAGATACAAGATACGTATTTCAGTAAATTTTTATAGTATGAATGAACAGACAAACATTTATGCCATAGGTATCCTTCCACAAATTTCCTTACTTTCGTTTTAAAAAGGGATTTTTCTTTAAATTAATGTATCAAAAAATATTTTGTTTTAAAATAAAATTGAAAAATGTCTCTTTTGACAAAAAAAGAAAGGATTTGAGTAACAATATTTAAGGCAAAAAAGTTCATATATTATAATATTATATATAATTTTTCGATTTGAATGATTACTTTATATCTTAATAAAAGAAAAATTGTGAGTCTTTCCTTTACAAACATTTGAAATATCTTACTGTTAAAAATAAAATTGAAATAAAAATTTTAATGGCTTTTTCTATATTAAAAACGTTTACAGCTTTTGTTTATAATACAAAACGGGGAAGACCCGCTTTGAAACGAGTTTTGCATTACGACCTTTCATTATGCAGATTTGAAAATATTTTAATACCGAAACTAAAGCAGGTTTTAAGTTTTTACTCGTGCTCGCATGCATAAACCTACTTTAGGCCTTACTCACGGAGTATTTACAAATTGTAAATATTGTAAATGAATACAGATAAGGGAAATATGTAAATATTTACAATATTTAAATAATTTTTATTAACCAAAAAGAATTTTGATAGTACAACTAATTAACGTTTTCAAATGCAACTTAATTAACACGATAGATAGTCGTGTTTACATAGAGGAACTTGATTACAATAGTACTTTAGGTTTCATTTTAATAAATTAATAAAGTAACTGTGTCTATTATTTATTTAATTATTTAATTTTTTAATTGCAAATATCTCATTGATCATCTTTAGTATAAATTAATTAAATTTAATAATTGATGGTCGATAACACTTATTATTTGTTTATTTATCTTTTTTTATTTCATAATGAAAAGCTTCTCACGACATCAAATACTGAACTTAATGTATAATTATTGTTCACTTTTGTTTTTAAGTAACTATAATTAAATACAAATTAAGAGCGTAATTTTAAAATAGTCGCGAAAACATTTAACGTTTCTTTAATTTTTTTAGCATTGTAATTTAATTTAAAAACGCAAAACTGTAATTTTGCGATCACGTCATCTTCAGGTCCAACTGCAAAAATATA